TAAACTGTGAAATTGCAAAAATCATGTTTACATAAGTTTTCACACTGGGAATTTATATACTGGAAAAACTCTTAATATGTGTCTAACGCATCGCACACATGGTCAGTGAGAAAGTAAATTCGGGTTTAATGAAATACGCCAGAGATAAGTACTCACTCTTATGGCAAAGTTTTTCTTGATGAAAAAGAATCTTCCGATAGAAATACCGATCGGGGTCTTTCTGAATTTCTTCATGAAATCTAGAAACTAATCAGGTAAGTTTATTAATCAAATTGTTTAAGGTTAAAAGCCGAATTTAATAATTATTCGAGTATTTCGAGCGGTGTCAACCTCGAGTTTGCTTTTAATTATCATGTAAACGGAAGAAAATCTTCTGATTTCTATGAAGTTATTGTACAACTGAAAACCAAAGAAATAAAAATTAATTTGATTTATATTTAATTATATATTTCTTTAATTATTTTTAGAATAAGTTCACGTTAAACTCTTCGTTGTAAAGTATATTATAAAAGGAGCGATTGAAAACAATATTTATTGCGATTCAACGTATGATTGGAAAACCAAATATATCAAATACTACACATATAATAATCATGGTAATGATGTATATAATAAGTGAAATTAATGAAAGTGTTTCGAAGTATTTGTTTAAGGAAATTTCTTCTTCGTAAGCGCTTTTCTTGTATTCGAAGTACAGGTTTCTCCTTTTAAATATGCCGAAAAATACGGCACAAAACAGATAAAGAATTAAATATATCAATCTGATAAAACTATTGTCGGTTCCGTAAACGTATACGCATTCACTGCAGGTTACGCCTTCGAAAAAGGTTTCCAGAAACTGTCGAATTGTTATAGTCCACAAGAAAAGTTGCACCGTATTTTCGTAATACCCGTAAGCTTTGTTCGGGAAGAAACGAAATTTCCGTTTTCTTTCGTTCTTCCGGCAATTGCAGTCCATAATTATATTCGTGGCGAAGACTTTGGCCGCTCGAAGAACAAAGTCGATCTGTCAAACCGGACACCCGGCATTTACACCCGAATCCCATTAGCGACTGTAATTTAACCAAAATTTCACTGTAATAAGTAAATAATTGCGATTAAATTTTTCAAGGCATCGGAATATTATTTATCGACTATTATACATAACAGAGGGAAAGTATGGCGATCGGTAAAGAAGTGACCACCTCAGTTTTTACACTTTGCTAACCTTTTTAAATTTTAATGAACGTAAGTGAAGATTGAACTAACATTGACATTTAAACACTGACGTATTCTGCAAATACATTATTTATTCCGATCTCTTCAATACTCCAACGACAACTTTCTTGTATGACTGATCTACAGAATATTTCCACGTGCCTTGTTCTATCGATCATTATCGATTGCACGGAAGTAGAAGTTCAATTAAGTATGGAATTGCATGATATAATAAATTCAAAATATTTTAAATGGCAGAAAAAAAATTTAATATTTTGATGGAGATAATTCAAATTTTATGTCGTTTCATTCGTCTTACAATGCTCTCGATTAACATTAATGCACAGAGTTTACGTAAATATTTTAGTTAAATTGAAAACCTTTTTGTATATGTTATGGGTCTTTGCGAATAACGAGAGAAACGATGCCGCATTCCGATAAATATTCATTCATTTATTTAAAATATTAAACTCAGGAAAAACTGGAAATACTGCTATTTGCATTTACGTCGATTTTCCTTTCGAAACATCGCGGCTGAAGAAAACTGTTCTATGTCATTCCTGTCTGCTTGCAAATGTATTTTTCATCTGCTTCTGCGTTGGCCTCTTCTGTGCCAATTATTACATTTCGCGACAAAATACTCAAAACTACGGACGTAGTCCTACTTACCACGTTTTTCCTTCACGTACTTCGCCGCGTGAAGAGTGCGATCGTTCTCGTTTTCGTCACGTATATTTAAAGAATGAAAGTAACGTCCAGGTCCGTCTGCCAAGAAAAACCATTGAATAATTAAAAATTTCCTTTCAAACAATTCTTCCGGTTCGAAGAATATGAAGTTTCTCAAATTAATAGGATTTTCCTGTTCGAATAAATCAAAATCATTAAAATGGGTGCTAAAATACTTCATAACGAAGTCATTAGCATATTTATTGCGAAATGAATTTACTTTTAAACATATTACAGGTAAAAACGTACAGAAAGCTAAAATTAAGGGTTGTCTTATACCAATAAATTATGATAATTATAAAATTTATTGTGATACGATATTGTGAAAGTACATATTTTAATTCACGATTAAATGTGTACTAATGTTAATAAATTTGGTTTAATTGCGTGTTTATATTTGTTTTATAAAAAAACACAATAAAAAATGTAGATTCAATTTCTGAAATTTTCTTATAGTTCAATACTTAGTGTAGGTGTAGTTAATATTATGTTATATTGCATTTGTAGGAATTTTTATGCATGGTAAACAGCTAAAAAGGCAAAAAAAAGACCATTTTTGGAATCGGGAACAGATTTATCTGTTTTATATTGTATTTTATGGAGAAAATTGTTTTAGTTTAAGAACAAGTCGGTTTTTGAACGACATTTTGGAACGAATTAAAGTTTCATTACATTTGAAACAAGTTTCTTTTCATCTTCCTTGATATTTTGTTTATACAAATATTTAATCATTTGTTTTACTGTATCTTCCGTTAACACAATGAATATTATTTCTTAAAATCAAAATCAGAATATTATTTCATTAAACAATGCAATGGTAATAATTACATTTTAACAATAATCGCAAAATTTGTCGTATTTTTTCAAACCAGAAATTGTCACAACTCGAGCGAATGGTAAGTGTCATTACCGAAATTATTTAAACTTGAAAAGACCTTTCGTATTCTTAAATTACGTGTCTTTCAATGGCGGAAAATACAAATTTGTAAAACAATTGTTAAACCGAAACAGTTTCTATTGATCTGGATATTCTAACATAGAAATATAAATAATATATGTAATTATATTAATGTATTTGTTTATAAGGAGGTTGCTTCGAGTGACGAAAACGGCGGCATTAAATGCAAGGTGTGCAAAAGTGACTTTTCAAACGAAGTGCAGTTCCTCGAACATCTGAAGGAGAATCCATGGTGCGAAAGGTTGACNGCTGGGTTTTTATTTGTGGGCAAAAAGTAACGATAGTGAAGATTAAGATAATTACATTATAGCCAATCTTACCCGTTTTCACAGAATGCAAGAATTAGGTCCCCCGTTTCCAGACGTTTCCAGAGAATTTTTACATGAGCATAAAAATATTTCCCGCAAAAGCGCAAAAAACCGCCTGTAAATCTTGCATGTCGCTTTATATTAACACTTCCTGGTCCAGATTCTATTTCTGAACGTTTCCTCTTTACGTCAAGTCAAACGAACTATTTTCAACGTTTCTTGAACGTTTACGATCGTTCTATAATTGAACCAATATTCGTATTTTACGTTCGAATTTGTTCGAACAAATTCGAACAAAACACTCGAAATAGAGAGCCACTTTCAACCGCTTTCAGCCTCATATCTCCCGCACCCTTATAGCTATCGAGACGCAACCCCCCTGGTGCACAAATGGAGACTTGGGGCTACCACCAAATACAAACACCATTCACGTGTGATATGTAGTTTTGGCGAAAAAGTGAAATATAGTGACATACATGTCCATTTTTATCTATCTATATATAAAAAAATGGACGTGTATGTCCCTATATTTCACTTTTCCGCCAAAACTACGCATCGCACGCGAATGGTGTTTGTATGTGGTGGTAGCCCCAAGTCTCCATTTGTGAACCAGGGGGGTTGCGTCTCGATAGCTATAAGGGTGCGGGAGATATGAGGCTGAAAGCGGTTGAAAGTGGCTCTCTATTTCGAATGTTTTGTTCGAATTTGTTCGAATTTTATCTTCGAATATTCGTTTGATTATAGAACGAATGTAAACATTCCAGGAACGTTGAAAATAGTTCGTTTGACTAAACGTAAAAATTCTCTGATTAGTCTGAAAACGGGAAACCTAATTCTTGCATTCTGAGAAAACTGGTAAGATTAGTTATAATGTAATTATCTTAATCTTCACTATCGTTACTTTTCGCCCAGCGAAGCGGGTCCTTGCAGCTAGATTCTAGATTACTTAAAAAAACGGTCTTTTATATATATTACATGCATGTACGAACAAGTAAAACTTAAAACGTATATTTGAAAAACTCGCAGGATCAAATTTGACACGATTCCGATATCTCTTGTTATGTATAGGCACATAAGAACTACAAAAGTAAAAAATGAGACATTATTTTATAAATATTCTATTTTAAAATCATTAAGCTTGTATTAATACATTAAAAGTAATATAGCAAAACGTCACGTTGGGCGGTAGACGATCGAAAAATGAAATGTTCATATTTCAAAAATAGGCTATAATTTTATAAATGCCCATTATTTTTAAATAAAACCTTCAAAAAGACTACAAAAAAGATGGTCAGACCTAGAAAGAACTATTAAGCATACACAGACTCTTTCTAGATTTTTTGGTTGGTTGGTGCGACCAAAATCTATCTCGTCGTAAATCTAGTAGAAAAAGGCTAAATTTGCGATTGTCTAGATCCAGAACATTCCAACGAACTTATAAAAGAACTTAAGATAATCGCCGTTCTAACCGCGAACACTAAATATGTTAAATTTTATCCGAATCAGTTCGTTGGTCTCGGAAATATTAATTGTCAAATTTGGCACTGTAACTTCAGACTGTGGCTGAGCTCTACTATACCGAGGTTATAAATATTACACAATCGGATGAGAGTTTATTAACGATGATACACATTTACTGTTAACTACAAATTAGATTTGAGACTGAAGAAGTGTTGAGTTCCCATTTGTGAATGATAAATTGAATTCTGTTTATATTTCAAAATTGACATTTATTCGAAGGAAACCTTTTCATTTTCTTTTGTATAAAAATTTAATTTAAATAACAATAATTTATATATTCGTTGTTGCAGAAACAGGAAAAAATAGATCCAGAAGTGTTGAGAGCATCCGAAATTCTCATAAACATGAGAAAGAAAAGATTTGAGATGATAAAAGAACAAAAGGAATCGCCTGATTCCGATACTCCGCCAACATTACAATAACCTACGAATGTTAAATATTGATTCATATTTTATACAATTTTTAAAAATTTCAACGAGAGATTCCTCTGAATTCGACATTTAAGACGAATTGAACCTAATGATTTCTGCGATATTTTGACAAAACTTCGTGAACGAAAATAATTCTACGAAATACTGTATAAATCTTATTTTTATTGGAAATTTATTGCAATTAAAATACTTTTTTTTGTTTAAGAATAATTTCTTCACGTCATTAGTGTTTTAATTATAACAATTTGAATATTATTGTATTGATCTTGCCTGATGAAGCATTCCAAGATATCCATATGTCAGTATGAAGTAATAATGAGATAGAGGTCAGCAGTTGTAACGTGAAGTTGGATTAACTTCAGCTCCTGTTCGATCGAGTTTTTATTGGTTTATAGTGCACGCATAGTAATAAGTTATATATCATCGGAATCGGAACTGCGAGAAGTGTCTAACGGTGTTACGTTTGTGACCCTGGGGTCAAATTTTGGGAAGATACGAACAGTCAAAAAGTCGCATTTTCGGGGTCCGTTTTTCCGGAAGAAGACGACGTTTTTTCCGGATCCATCAACAGATTAATATTAAGCTACAAGCTGTTAGTACCACGTTGAATTTTTGGGGGTCTAGGACCATTAGTTACCGATATACAACGACTTTTCCAATTCTTAACGTCGGACTTCGGGAGCCCGCATCGGGCCCTAAACGAAACATTTCAGAAAAATTTAATGTTATCTGTGACAGGAGGCCATCAGTAAACCTCTCCATAAATTTCATGAGGAAATCTCTCTTAGTTTTTAAACTACGACAAGATAGAAATTCATCAACTTTCAGCAAATTTCTCCACTGAACGAAGCAAGTGGTT